ATTCTGCAGTGTCAGTTTGCCTTTAATGTTGAACATTTTTCCAGCACTGATTTTCCCCCCCCCGCCCCCCATTACCTTGCTCATGCCTGTTTAATTTTTTGTGCGAGGGAAAAGGGAAAACAATTGCTGTCTGCCTTTTAAATGGGATTTAAAACAATCTAGTTTGGTTCTGACTGAGTTCACATTAGATTCTGTCTGAATGTCATGCCAGTGGGCGTCTGTATTGCGGCAAAAGAAACAAACTGGAATGTGAGCAGGTGATTTCTCTCCTGGTCAGCTCGGAACCCTGTCAGAACTGTAGGTGCTGAAAACTTAATCCCTCAGATAAGCAAAATGGACTGCAAGCGCAGAGCGAGGAGGACTCGGTGGGGATGTCCTCTGTACTCTGAACCCTGCCTGGAGAAAGGCCCCTGCAAACCTCAGCCTCTGGGTGTCTTAAAGATGAGACTAAACCGGGCAAAGTTTTTTACTTCGGTGTCATCACTGTGTGATACGTCGTCTTGTGAATCCTACTGTGGGGTTATTTCTTGACCTTGTCTGCTAAAACCTGTGTTCTGTCCTCAGTCTCTTCCCAGTTTTTAAGATTTAGACAAGTGTTATTGTATAAAACCTTAGTGTATTTTGCATTTACCGTAGGAAAAGCAGTACACTGAGTTATTAATGTATTTCACGTTGTCAGAATTGGACTCCAGAAGGAGCCTGTGTATTGCCAGTTCAGGACACATGCTTAAAAGGGTGTGCGTGCATACATATGCATGCGCCAGTTTAGCATCTCTTTCTCCTAGAGTTCAGACGGGTCCATTGTCTGAATTCTCTTAGCCTGTGGCAAACCTGAGATGTTCTGACGTTTGAGTTGGGTTGGGTCATAGTACGAGACAGCAGAGCCGACTCGTAGTGTGTTGTGCTTGCCACGGGCTAAGAACCTGTATGCGGACGTGTGCCACAGGTCAGATGACATGCAGGGACTTGTATGTAGGAGAGGGCTGTCAGTCAGGATGTGGTCTGGAGCAGTCCTTCTGACTGTAATTACAGGTAGGCTGGGAATGACACCCTGATCAATTCACATTACTTGTTTAAAAGAACATATACATTATTCATGAATTATAGGTTGCTTAACACTTTAGTGTTCGAGGTTCAGCTTCTTAAAACCGCCTCAAACTCCTTTTTTCTAGTAACATATATGCCGCATTTCCACTGGAATTCATTTTGGTGTGTTTATCCCTGACTGTCAGACTGTGGGTGTAAACTTCAGCACAGAGTTTCTTTATTAATGCACAACATTTACAAGATTGTTTTTGTACTGATCTTTCATTTCTTGTGTTGCATGACAGGTGGTGGAAGAAAATGGAGTTCGTAAAGTGGTGGTGTTGCCACACTCGGCTGAATTCCATCCTTCCATGCATCCTCCTCCTCCCCCTCCCCATGTGCCACATTACATGCATCATCACCATGCTTTGCTTCCCCACCCACCTCACCCGGTGTATCCCCCGGTGCCTGGGACAGGAGAGCTGCCTCCACAGTTCATTCACCAGCATCCACCACCCCACGTTTTCCCAGAGCAAGGTGAGAGCGCAGGGGGTGGTTGGAGACACGAGAAGGCTTTTCCGCTCGGTGTGTCTGGGCTGAGGCAGGCGGGTGTTGTCGGGAGCTCTTTCACGCATTTCTGAGGTTTCGGTGCTGGTTATTAGACTCCCTGAGCCTTATGTGTGCTTATGGGGTATCCTAAAACACGCTCGTGTGTAATGTATCGTGGAGCTTGGCCTTGCGCTCTGTGTGTGCAAAGGGTCATCGTATAAAGTTTAAGGGCTTAATGCAGAAGGAGCAACTTAATACAGTGTGTATTTTGCATGGATCCTTACTTTGGTTCCTGTAAGTGCTGCAATGATTGCTTCTACCTTCCTCTAAAATTCTGCTCTCCAAAACTGCTGTGTTTTGTCACAGCCTTGGCAGGAAGTTTTTTTTAAACGCGTTTAATTTGATGCATGAAGGTATTTTTGTGGCTAGACAGAGTCCAAATATGATTTGAAAGAAAGTAACACACGTAAACCAAAAACTGTAGTGATCCATGTTGGAGGGTGAAGTGTGAGTCCACTCTCCATTTACAAACTGGATGAAGCAATACTTCCGTGGAGGACTGGGGTCACTGCTGAATAAAAGCAGGCCGTCAGCCTTATTATATAAACAAGCATTCAGCACTGAAATTAGACTATGTAAGACCATTCTTCCTCCCAAGCTTAAATGGGCAATTAAGCTATTTTGGCTCATTTCTAGGGTAAAATGTTCAGTAGCACCCGAGCTGTGTTATAAAAAGTTAATTTGGGTCCTAAATTTGCTTCCACTGTTTTCAAATGTGACTGTATGGCCGTAACAGGGAAGAAAGGCAACTGAGAGACATCATCTTGAGCAGCTAGCAAAGGAGGGAAGGCCTGAAAAATTGAATTAACGAGAAAGAAAACCCTGAACTCAGCAAGTGATCAAAAATAATGCTTAAGAAAAAGAGAAAAATCAAATCAACCCTTTGGATATGGGTTAAATAAGAAAAATGGAAATGTGCTTGTAGGTATTTTGTAGATTTTACTGTAGTATTTAACTAACACTGACAATGTTTCAAACCAAGAATTAAACCTCCAGGCATGTTCTCCTACAGTCATCCACTGATTTGAGCCCCGTCCCTAATCTCGCTGAGGTGAGGTTCCTGTGGCCTAGCGGGGCTCTGCTGTCACCAGTGTGGTGCACACGTGTTTCTTGCCTGTTGCTCTGCTGCCCAGAGGCACCCGAGCATTGGCCGGGAGGCTCCTCGGGACCTCACAGATGCACTGACCCGGAGTTACGGGAGCTGTGCAGCTCCGGGCATCTGCACGCTGAGAGAATGAGCAGGGATGTTCCGTGGGTTTTCAAGTTCTGGTCTTGCTGTAGTTGTTTGAACTCACAGAGTGTTTCTCAGGTGTCAAATGATACTGAATAATGAAAAAGTTCTCCTTTCTTTGTAGAACCTCGTTCTCATGGAAGGACAAACTTCATTCAGCGAGATGAAAGGAGTCTCAAAATGCAAGAACACCTGAAGAAAAGACTAAAAGACCGACAAGCTAGTGGCCATACTAACAATAAACTTAACAGTCCTCCATCTTCACCCCATAAAGTTGTTAATTCTGCCAATGCAACAATTCAGAATGGAAATGGCAAGGGACAGCAAGGGGCAGGAGGACTACCGAAGCAGAAGCAGATAGGAAAAACAAAGGGCACTCCAGATGCAGAGATGGGAGGTAGGTTGCATTGAAAAGGTTAAAAAAAAAAACCAAACAACCAAAAAAAAACCCTAAAAAAACCCCTAGTTTCTTTTGTAACACAAGATGCTGAAAATTTGTTAAAAAATAGTTTCTGGGGAAAAAAAATATTGTGAATTTCTTTGGCTATTCAGGATTAGAGAAAGCCTGAAATACTTCCTGTTACGTTTAGGTTTCTTTTCCTCTAGAAATCATGGGATCACAGAATGGTTTGGGTTGGAAGGGACCTTAAAGACCATCCAGTTCCATCCCCCTGCCATGGGCAGGGACACCTTCCACTAGACCAGGTTGCTCCAAGCCTCATCCAGCCTGGCCTTGAACACTTCCAGGGATGGGGCATCCACAGTTTCCCTGGGAAACCTGGCCCAGTGCTTCACCACCCTCTCCAGAAAGAATTTCTTCCCGATATCTAATCTAAACCTCCTCTTTTTCAATTTAAACCCATTACCCCTTGTCCTGTCACTACAGGCCCTTGTAGAAGTCCCCTCCCAGCTTCCTTGTAACCCCCTTCAGGTACTGGAATCGACATAATGTTAAGTCTGTTCATTTGAGATTTATGAAATAAGGTCATCAGGAAGATTTAATTTTTAACTTTTTATTCACTTCTCTGCCTTTTCTGGCCTGGGACTGATCAATATTCCAAGTGAGGATGACCTGTGGGTACTTAGATAAGAGGCTGCTGGTGTGATTCTCTGTGGTACTTTTTAAATAACTGCTAGTTATCTGAAACATCAGGAAATAGGAAGGCTTGAGCAACTGACTGGACAGGTTGTAGTTTCAGTATTTTGCTCAAATGAATTTTTTAATAGCTTATGGCTATTTACTTGCATACACACCTTGTGTACAACATCCGTTTGTTTTCCTTTTGGGCTGAAACGCGGACAGTTTCTTACTGTGATTCCTTAAATGATTTGTGTGTCTCAAATTAAGTGGTCCTGTTAGGCTGCAAAATCCATCCTCGTCTGCGTCACTGTTGTTTTTAACTCTCGCTAGAGAAATCTGACTTTGTCTTGGGAAGTAAGTAGAGGTGGAAGCTTTTACCCAACTTATTGCAAGGGCAGAAGATATACTTGGTTAAAGATCTGTCTCAATACAGATGTCTCGGAGGAGGGGAAAACAAGAGGTTTTGTTTGCGGACAGAACAGCATCCTGAATTGTTTGACAGGGCCAGGATTCAGTTTGCAGGTGTTAATCCTTTCGATACCGGTAGGTATTTTAGTGTGCAGTGGTGATCAGGCTTCTTGCCGGATTATGCCTAGACCAAGTGTTTTTGCAGTAGGAGTTCAAGGAAAGCACATACAATAGAGAGATAAGATCTTATTGTCATTTTTTAAACACCTTTCATTTTTGGAGGAATGTTTTTTTTTTTGTGTGTGTGTTGTCAAAGAAAACCCATTTATGCTCAGACCAGGAAAATATACCCTTTGTGCAGGATGTACTAAAAGGGTTTTTGTAACACTGTTAGTTTTGGATAGTTCATGTTTCTACGCGTCACGCAGCCAAAACAAACAGGGGAAATGAACTTTGCACAATAAGTACTATTGTTAAACTCTTAATGAGGCAAACTCCATCTTGTGGTGGCGTTTTTGTAAGGGACTGGCTTAGGCTGGGGGTTTCAGTAACCTGTTTTGTATTTGAACTTTCAGAATCTGACACAGAATCCAAGAAATGTGATGTTCACTTGAGCATTGGCAAGCCAGTCGTAAGTATTGTCCTTAAAATACCGTTATTTTCTGTGCATATAGTTTCTATAAAATAACATGTGTCTTATTGATCTCTTTCTTTTTTTGTAATGGTTTAGTTTCTTAATAGATAAAATGTATTTTAGTTGTCAGCTTATAGCTGGGAAAGGGCAACCATGCTGTAGAAAGCCACTTTTCCTGCAGTTCCTGAAACACTCTGGCTCAGTTTCCCAGTCTGTAAGCCGAGAGTGTATCCACTGCTGAAGCTGTCTAGTGTGCGTGAGGGCTTTAGTACCTGCCAAACCGAGGGCCTGCTAAGCTAATGGAAACCTGTCTGCTCTTGGAATCATCCTTCCTTCAGCGTAGAGGAATTAAGAATATTGGGAATAGAGTTCAGAAAAATGGATCATCTTTTTTTTGTTGTCTTGAGAAATTGAAGCAAATATTGGAGTGCTTGTAGACGTGCTTAGGAAACTGGAGGCTGGTGACGTCAATTTAAATGTCTAAAGGCTGAAGGTGCACTGAAGTTTTTGATCTGGAGTGTGCTTAATGAAACTTCTTTGCATTATCTATACAGCAGTAAACAGGAGTTGTATTTTATTTTCCAGATTTCTAGCTGGTTCTGTTACAGTATTTTTTTTCCTTTGCTGCTTCTGACATCTGTACCTAAAGCCAACAGAAGGCCGCGTTGACTTTGTCAGAGAAAATTTGGAGTATGGGGAGTTAAGCAGCAAAAAACTTAGACCAAAAATTTTAGTCGTGAGCCCTTAAAATCAGAGCTTCTTGCTGTTAGTGGTTAAATATTATGTGAGGGAGTTGTAATGGAACGTTAGGCCACCCGATTGTGCCTGAGTGTAGATCCGGTGTCAGTGTTCAAGGCTCCAGATCGGAAAGCTTGCTGCAGGCGAGTGGTGCAGGCTGTGCAGCTGAAACAGGAACTGTCTTTTTGAGACGGTGTGGTCCTTCTCTACCTCTGCATAGTGTGTGAAGGGAAATCCTTTAATGCCGTATTTTAGAAATGAAAAGAGGAAATAACTTAAATTCAGATGATGACTCGCTATTCCCACTACAAAGGTAAAGAATTCCTCCAGTGAGGAACTTCGTAGGCAAACTAGCGACACCATGTTATTGACTAATATACCTTTTATTACAGAAAGCAAACTTACTTGCATTATTTATGCTTTTAATAGGTTTCTGATATACAAGCAAGATCAGCCGTTCTGTCCTGGAATCTCCCAGTTAGTTCACAGAATGGAGAGAGCCATAGTCATAGTCCAGCAGCATTTACATTTGAAGTAGCAATATCCAACAGTGGTAAAAATGGAAAATTTAAATCTGTCTATGTGTAAGTTTAGTTTCTTCATTTAAGCACAATACTGATGTTTAAAAACATTAACCAATCGGCAATCTCTCTATCAGGAGCTGTTTGTTGACTTGCAGACCTACCTACTTCACATGAAATGAATTTTAAGTAATATCACTGTAAGAGTTACGTGGACAATGGAAAACATGAAAATTAAATGTGCGCTACATGGTTTTGCTTTTCAATAAGCTTTTATCCTTCAAAGTATAAGGAAGAGCTGTAACTTTCTCTTTTCCCCCCTCCCTTTTCACAGTGGAGAAGAATTAACAATTACACTTCCTGATCTCAGACCAGCAACTGATTATCATGCCAGGTACGGTGCTGGGAGTGAAGTGCCTAATGCTTTTGTTGATATGTTAATTGCAGAATTATTGTGGCTTCATAGGTGTGATCACAACTTCAGTATTCTGCAAAAATACCGTAGTTATGGACACTGCTGCCGCCATCTAAATTCCCACTTAACCTTCTGACTTCATAAAAATGTCACCATGTTTTCTTCCCTGCTTCTTTGTGGTTCTCAGATACAAACTTCAAGTTACCCTCTGCTGGTATTTTTTTAGAAGAATGAGATTTGACTCCGTGGAAGGGTTGTTGTAGGCTGAAGGCAGTGAACAGAATAGCTTGGCCTTGGGCGTAGGTTTGCGAGTCGGATTTCTCAGCTTGATTTGTAAGCTGGAAGCTTCTGTAGCAGTGCAAGAAAGGAGGTGGAAACCGGTTGATACGGGGAGAAGTTAAATGCTGTGTTACGAGGGAACAAGACGTGACATTCAAGAATTGCCACGCAGAGTAAATAAGTGTTACTGGAGAAGGTGTTTAGCTGGTCAGGGAAAAGACAAGCTGGTTAAACAAGGCGGGAGAACACTGTGATCCGGTAGCGGAAGAGAGCCCCAAAGCTTAGGCACAGGAGGAAATGAGTTTTAAGACTTACTGAAGTGAACTCCTGTTCTTCAGCTGCAAAGGAGTTGGAGTGTGCTAAATATTCAGTGCAGCTCCGCTGGCAGAGTGTAGCATAGTGTCTGTGCTGTTGCTTCCAACCCCCACGCCAACTTGCTTTTACTACAGTTCATTTGGTTAGACAGTTTCTGAAAAACCAGTCAAGACATTGCTCTTCCACACCAAACATAAATGAGCATGACTGTTCTAGGGATTCTGTCCCATTTGAACAACTACCCGTGGAATCTGACTGCCCGAACAGCTGATTTATGCTGGTTTAGTGTCTCTACTCTTGCACAAGTAAGTGTTGTCCGTGCCTGAATCTCGAGCCTTTTAAGCAAAAGGTTAATTTCAAGTCAGGTATTCTGTTACCGTTTCGTAACACTTGCTGTAGTGTCTGCCACATGTATTTCATCATGAAAAGATCTTGGTCGTGTTGGGTAGTAATTGTAAATGAAGGGTGCCAAATGGAGTCTTTGGGATCAGTAAGCGTACCTGTGGGGTCTCCGTCACCCCTCTGTCGGCACGCCCTGTCTCCCGGAACACGGAACAGATAGCAGTGTGTCATATGGCGCGGGCATAGATTCACAGAATGGTTTGGGTTGGAAGGGACCTTAAAGATCATCTAGTTCCAACCCCCCTGCCATGGGCAGGGACACCTTCCACTAGACCAGGTTGCTCCAAGCCTCATCCAGCCTGGCCTTGAAGACATCCAGGGATGGGGCATCCACAGCTTCTCTGGGCAACCTGCCCAGTGCTTCATCACCCTCTCTGGGAAGAACTTCTTCCTGATATCTAATCTAAAGCCTGGAAGGACATAACAAATGCACTTTTTGTTACTTCTTCCTGAATGAAAAGGCATGAAATTGATGCCTTTTAGAGTCAGTGATCTGAGAGGAGTGCCTTGGGCAATAGTTCGCTAGAACGTCAGCAGGCTGGTCGTGTTGCTGTAACCTCTGCTTGTGCTTAAATGCATTTCTAAGGCTGACAGTGCTTTCCTTAAATTTTCAGGCCCTAATGCAATAGCAACGTATTTAATTGTCCTCTGTTCAGAGTTTCAGCAGCCAGCAGTTCCATAAAAGAATCCGTTTCGGAATTGGTGAGTTTCACTACGGAGAGTTGTGAGCCAGACTCCCCGGCTGCACCGAAGCTGATTAACAGAACCAAGAACAGCCTGAGCTTGCAGTGGAAGGTAAGCAGCCTGACGTGTTCAGGTACCGTCTGCTTAAATTAGCTTTGTCAGTAATTCAGTGTGTGCTTTAGGTGTTGGCTTTTAAGCTGCTCAGTTAAGACGGATAACTGACGTCAGGGTTGTTTTTTCCCCTCTCTTTCAGTGTTTACTTAGTTCTGTGCATGCAGCTTTAGTGCGACACGTGGGTAGCAGGTCTCTAAGTATGAACAGTTCCGTAGGCAGGTTCTCTTCCAAACCAGCAGTGTAGGACAGGGTAGAGCGTTTATATTTTTGCTTGAGGTTCCCGGATGATAAATAGGTATGGCGTGACGTTGTAATTCAGAGTTCTTACTCTGAGCCATTCAGAGTGAATTTCTTTGGCTCGTTTGTAGATTTACATGCTTCAATCAGACTTGGGAATATGTACAATATCTGTGAAGGCTGGTTGGTAACTGTGTGTCCTTGTCTTCCTGTGTTTTTCTTACGACTGCGCTTAAACCTGGAGAAAGCTTTCTAGCTAAATGACTTCAATTAGTTAAATTATTTGTATAATCTGTTATTTAAGTGAAGGGAGTTCCCAATTCATGTGCCACAGGCAAACGCTTACGTTGCTCAGACAGCTGGTGAGCACACAGCGCAAGGACACAAGGGAAAAAAGCTGTATCGCTTGCATTGCTCATAAAACCCTGCAGAAGTTCATATTCTGAACTCTCAGGATTAATAGAGGTAGCATCGCAGCCTGGAGAGCCACCAGAAACGAGGGATTCAACTAGTTAAAATACCTGCTGGGTTTTTTTTACCCTCTCTGACTCACCGTACTGAACACGGGCGTCTGCGCCCACCGTAGTGTCAGATTGTCACAAGTGTGTGTGTGGCAGAGGAGGGCTGCTGTGTGTGCCTGCTGCACGTTCCTCCCAGCTCAAGTGGTTTGTTTTCAGAGGCGGTTGGAATACATTCTGTTCAGTCGTTTAAAATGCTATTTTGATGTGCAAAAGTATTTATAAGAGTACAACCATTTGATTTTAACTTTTTTCATTGTTTCTTTATTTTCAGTCCTCAAATGACAATGGTTCCAAAATAACTAATTTTCTTTTAGAATGGGATGAGGTAAGACCTTTTCTAGTGTAGAAAATATCATAATGACATCTGTAGTCCAATTATACTTAAAAATACTTTTTGCTTAGGAACATCAGCTATTTTGAGTGCAACTGTCCAGACAGTTTTAAAGGGACAAGCCAATTACAGTGCTTGAATCGAGTGACTAGTTCTGCGGCAATTCAAGTAGACAGTCCTTTCACATCCTCTGAGAGGACAGTGTTAAGCTCCCCCCTTTGGTTCTTGGCATTCAGAGCATCATTAATTCCTGTGCTCTCGTTAAATCGATGAGCCTGTGTCTTCGGAAGCTGTCACAAACACCACGCAGCTTTTGAACTTCTCACTGAAATGTATTCCAGGGTGGCTAAAACACTTGCAGATTTTGTTTTCAACTGCAGTCATTTATTGCTGTTTTGTCAAAAAAGAAAGCAGATACCTCAGTCAAAATATGTGTTTATCACCAGGAATGCTCAGGATTATGCACAGCATGCTCAGTGTGACCCTGTTGACGTTAGCTTTTTATGTTCTTTAGGTTTAACTCTTCTTTAATTACTCTGAAATGAGGGAAATGAGATTTAGGAAGATGTAGAGTGAAGCAGTTGACCGTAGCAGGGAGCGTACAGCCCCTGTGCAGAAAGTTACTGGGGTTGTTCTCACTTTTTTCAAGGGGAAGAACGGACCCTTCAAAGAATGCTACTACGGGCACCTGAAGCAGTATAAACTTACCAAACTCGCTCCTTCTACAAAATACTCACTCAGATTAGCTGCTAAAAATGACATTGGAATGAGGTAATGAACACGACATATCGTCTCCTTTATTGTCTTATCGGCGACGTCTGCTGTTCTTAACTTTTTTTTAAAAAAAAACCACTTTTGCAGTGGGTTCAGTGAGACGGTGACGTACTACACTGCAGGAATTGTCCCACCAGCCCCGTCGCCCCCAGTGCTCGTTGAGGCAGGAGTGACCTGGCTGTCTGTAAAGTGGAGCCCACCCGTTGGGGTGTCTGCAGATGACTCCCTCACGTACAGTTTAGATGTGGAAGAAGAAGGTTCTGTAAGTGCCCGGGGAGGGGTTTGTTATGTGTCTAAAAGCTTCGTATGCAGTAGTGCTTCAATAAAAAAATTAACTCCTGTGCCTTACTTTCACACAAAATGCTGCAGAAATGCTGCAGCGGTCGGCAAGCGTTGCACGTGTTCATGAAGGAAAGGTGAAGTTCAAGCTGAAAAACCGAAAAAATGGATCAGTTTGATCTGGTTTTGTTTTTATCGTGGAAAACTGTGTGAGTGACTGCGTGTCTTCCCATTTCCCTCCTTTACAGGGTTATGGTTTCCAGACACAGTACAACGGAGATGAACTCTCGTGCACTTTAAGGAATCTTAGGAGGAGCACATCCTATAAGTTTAGGGTTTGTACTATATTTTGTTTCTGATTTCGTTATGACTGTCGGCGTTTCTAGGGTTTTAGCATTTTCACACAGCTGAGAGTTTCTGTGGAGACAGCAGACAACTGCCTGTAGTACTTTTGTTGTTATAATAGGTTTTGGTGGAATCATAATACAAATCTTTTTTTTTCACTAGCTGATTTTGTTTTCTTTTAAATTGTCGTCTTTTTCTGGGGTTTTGGTGTGGTGTTGTTTTTCCACGGAAGAATTTTGTAAAACGGCAGGCTATTGTCATTAAATAAAGCATGTCCCTATTCCCTTTGTTCCTGGAACAGCTCTTTGCCTACAACAGCGAAGGTAAAAGTAGCCCTAGCGAGGTGGTGGAACTCCGCACCCATCCTGACAAGCCTGGACCACCGAGTAAACCGGCCGTAAAGGGCAAGATCCATCCGCACAGCCTGAAAGTGTCGTGGGGTAGGTTCCCTTCTGCCGACGCCATGCCCGCGCGCCGCTTCGGCAGCTGCAGTCACTCAGGAACGCACCTTAGGAAGCGGGGGCCAACTCGGACTGATTGTGCGTTGCTGCAGGTGTCGTTATCGCGGGAGAAATACACTGCAGCTCTGTTTCGGGGCTGCGCTACAAAAGGGATGTTTTTCTTTATGCATTTTAAGAAGCAGTCAGTGCTGTTGTAACAGCCTCTAGATTACTGTGATGCTTGAGTAATTCTTATGTGCTCTGGGTACCTGAAATTGGCACTATTTTCCTAGTTACTCCTCTGTCATAGCCATTATTAATACTGGGGGAGAAATACACTGCAGCTCTGTTTCGGGGCTGCGCTACAAAAGGGATGTTTTTCTTTATGCATTTTAAGAAGCAGTCAGTGCTGTTGTAACAGCCTCTAGATTACTGTGATGCTTGAGTAATTCTTATGTGCTCTGGGTACCTGAAATTGGCACTATTTTCCTAGTTACTCCTCTGTCATAGCCATTATTAATACTGGGCTGGGATATGAGTGCTGTTTTCTACCTCAGTGTATTCTACAATGAACGGGTGTTCCCTGAAAAGGCTGATAACAAAATAATGCATTTGGTTTTAAACCCTCTGTGATTTATTTTAAGATGTCGATTTCTCTTCCAGATCCACCCAAAGATAATGGAGGATCAGACATTTCAAAATACTTTCTGGAAATCTCGGAAGCATCAGCTGGTGAGCAGTGATCTCTAAGCACTAATTCACCTTGTGTGCTGATGCAGGGTGCTGACACACCGCGCTCTGCTCTAGCACTTACTGCTCTGCTTTCACGGGTGTTCACTGTGCATGTTCCCTGCATAACTGATCATTAAAATCTGATTCTGTGGCTTGACTTTCTTAATCCATACGGGAGAATATTCCAGGTTGATTTTGTGGCAGTTTTGTAACATAAAGAATTTTCTTTCTTTCCTCAGGAAGTAAATGGGACACCATATACAGTGGTTCCCAGAGAGAGCACGTCTGTGATCATCTCAAGCCTGGCACTTCGTACAGAATGAGAGTCTATTGCGTCAGTAAAGGTGGTGAAAGCCCGGTGAGGAAAACAAGAACGCGTCTGCTTCCGAAACCCATTTCCACCTGTGTTTTAGCAAAATGTTGTGGTGTTTTTCCGCTCTGAAATAACGTGTGTTGCTGCTAGGCTTCCGATGTTACGACTGTTACGACGCCAGCCGTTCCTCCTGGACCGTGTCACGCTCCGTGCCTGGCAGGCAAAGCTAAGCCCAAGGAAATCCCTTTGCAGTGGGGTAAGCTCCAGCGTTTCTGAGCAAAACACTTCTCTCATTTTAAATGTTGTAACGCAAATGAAAAATCTTTAGAACTCTTGGAGGGGGAAATGAAAAAATAGATACCTATGGATGTAGTGTATGTCCTTGTCTGTGGGTCTTGTTGGTTTTTGAAGACGACTAAAGCTTGCCAACCACCCCTGACTGGGTGATGTGTGCAGGTGCAGCGGTACGGGGAGACTTAAGCAGACATAAGTGTGTTCCAGGAGAAAGCTTGCTGACTGTCTCTTCACTGACACCTGTTTGGCAATTCAGAAATTAACCCTCCTCTTATCATCTCCTTTACTGATATAAAAATCAAAAAATAATGAAGATATACTGAGAGCTGAAGGAAATGATTGGAAAATATCTGGGAAAAATTGATGGAGGCTGTATTAAACTAATGTGTTGGTACCGGGGCGGGGTGGACACACACGACTGGAAGGGAGAAGCAAGCTCCAAAAGTGTTTCTGCACAGATATATGATAAAAGCCTGCACTCTCACTTTTAAAATTCATCTGACTCAACCCTTAGCTTGAGAAGGCTGATTAGAAACTATTTAAAAGTCCTCTGTGAAATTAATAGGGGGAAAAAAAACCCTTCTTTTTCTTTCCTAGGCCCACCGTCTGCAGATGGAGGCTCCGACATTACGGAATATATTCTAGAGATGGCCAGCTCTGAAGAAGATGAACGCAGACAAGTGTATCAGGGTCCAGCATCTGAATACAGTGTAAACAATCTACTTCCAGGGAGAACATACTGCTTCTGGATACGAGCAGCAAATAAAGTTGGGGTAACCACTGTGCTAACGAGACCCGTTCTGCGCTTACGCGGGACATAGAAATGATACTGTTGGCTTACAGGCCTCATGATCTTTTATAGCTTCTGCTTGCTGTCCTAGTTCTGTTGAAGGAGCAAAATTTCTTACAGCATTTAAAAAACGATTTAAAGAAGACTCAGTAAATTAGGGCTGAAGGAAGGGTTCGGTGTCCCTGAGTGAGGGGACGTTCGCCATGTTGCGTTTCTGTTGTTTAAGGGATTGCAGTCAGTGCCTGAGGTAACTAGCCCCAGGCTAGTGCTAGCCATTCTCTTACTGCAGCCAGAGGCATGACGGAGTGCAAACCCTGTGTTTCTCGCTGGAAATAGCCACTTAAGGCAACTACTCACAGCACAAAGTTTTTGTTCTATGCTTAGTGTAGGCTCTGTGGATGGTGGTGTGGGAATAGTATTGTGTAGAGAGGGGTGTGTTCAAATAATACCAGGTTTGAAAAAGGTTGGGATAAATGTTGGTTGCGTAAAAGTCTGTCCGAAACAGTACCCAGCCGCTTCTGGAAGCCAGATCCTGGCTGGAGGGGAAGGAGGAGGAGTTACAAAACGATAGCGGTGGAGCTAGTGGGAGGATTACAGAGATCCTGTAGGCACAAGGCCAGTTTATAAACTACTTGAAAGGAATTTTAAACAGTGCTGTGAAACTAAGTACTAAACTCTTCTGTTGATTTCTCTATCAAGTTAAAAAGAATTTGTTTTCTTCGGCTCACGCGCTCGCACATCAGTTTTTGCTCTGCTGCTGTCGCCGTGTTCATGCAGTGGTCTTTTCTTGCAGTTTGGCCCTCACTCTGACAAAGCAGAGATCTCCACTGCTCCGGGACCCCCTGACCCATGCTGCAAACCCCTGATAACTTGTAAAAGTGCCACCTGTGTGGTGGTTTCATGGGAGGTAGGTTTTCATGCTTTTCGGTAAGGCACAACTTGACATTTGGCTTTTGGAGTCGTAGTGACACGTGTACGATACGCAGAAATGGAAGAAAGAGCAAGCGTTGGTGGAGTGTTTGTAGCCCGTTTCTTTATAGGGGTTTTGTGAATGTTGTCAGCTGTGAATTTCCATCTGAATCGGTTGGGTGACATATAATCCTCCTCATGGTATGATAACCAATGTGTTATAATTAGTTCATCCGGGGGCAAGGGATTGTCAGAATTCGGGTTGAACCGCGTTGTTATAGCCACATGGAGAGCTTTTAACAAGTGAACTTAAACCCATGCCCTTGGCTGTGGTGGGAAAAACCTCAGGTTTCCACCCTGGTGCTTCTGTTCCACCGTCCCTTCCGCGTGACGAGAGATCGCGCTCCTGTGGTGAACGCGTGTCCGCGCAGGAGCTGAAGGACTGTGTATCCTTGCAACCCGCAGAGCCCGGCGTGCAACGGCGCAGAAATCGGTGAATACAGGCTGGACTGGGGACAGGTGGAAGGATCCATGCATATCGCTTACACTGGCCCTTGCCAGAGCTATGAAGTGAAAGGACTCACGCCTGCAACCACGTATTACTGCAGAGTCCAGGTATGAACAGCCTTGCGTTATGTGTTGCTGAGACGGACAGGTTCCTACCGTTTGAAGAACAAGTAGCTAGGGATGAACAAAGCTGTGCACTGTCCCCTGCTCGTGCGAGGTAGGAGGTAGCTGGTAAAACCACTGTCCCCTCTCCCCCAGTCCCTCCTAACTCCATGTCCCTAGAAACGAAACGCAGACGCGGCGTTGCGTTGCCGCCCACGTTGCTGTGTTTACGTTTGATTTGGGAGACGTTCCGTTCTCTTCCAAACGGCTGCTGTGTATGTGGAGCAGGAAGCGCGATAGATGGGACGTCCCAGCGGGGCGTCCAGCAAAGACCCGCGGTGTCTCTTTCCAGGCCGTGAACGTCGCTGGAGCTGGGTTGTTCGGCGAGACTGGAGCGGTGACCACCCCTGCATCCGTGCCTGCAGCAGTCTCTGTCCTGCATCTGCTTGAAGAAGATCAAATGGAAATTTCTTTTCCTTTGTCAACGTGCCTTGCAATTCATTGGGAAGAACCGTGTTGTCACGGGTCAGAGATCACTGGGTATAATATAGAATATGGAGAAAAGCAGGTTGTAACTGTTGGAAGAAGTACAAGCCATGTTCTTGAGAACCTGCAGCCTGACACTCTCTACAGGTAATAATTAATCATTTCATTCTGGAACCACACTGGTGGGGTTTTCAATCAATAGCTTTGAGGGTGATGTTTAAAGTCTTTAGTGCAGATACCTTACAGATGCCAAAATAACCCAAACCCAAAACACAACTGTCGCATCCAGAGTTAAGCCACGAGGTTTCGGCAGCAAGGGTTACGACTGACGTTCCGTCTCAAAGCTGGGGCTTCCTTCTGGCTTTTCTGGGTTCAGAACTTGTTCTGCGTGTAACGGAGCGGTCGCTGTCGCGCCAGCCGAGGACAGGTGTGTGGATAAGAGCAGAAAGCTGTTCCCCTGTCGCGTGCTGGAGCTTGGTCAAAGCCTGGCCTGGACCTTCGGTGTCGGAGGGAGGCAGCTGGCGGAGGTGAATGTGCAGGGCCTGGGCGCACGCTCGCTGGACAGAATAAACCTGAACAATGCTGAGAAACACCGAAGCTTCGTTACGTTGCAAGCAATGTTAATTATGTTGACTTGGTCTGAAGCAGCTTATTTTTAGAGTTAATTTCCAACTGCATTTTAATGGCTTTATGGTTTGTGGGTTTAACTCTTGCTTTACTACCTGGCATTTTTCCAGACCGCAGTAAACTAACCATCTTGCTGCTCTTCTCGCATTCCTAGGATTAGAATACAGGCCATAAACAGCCTTGGAGTTGGTCCTTTCAGTCATTCCATTAAAGCCAAAACGAAACCACTACCTCCTGACCCTCCTCATCTTGAATGTGTGGTCTTCAGCTACCAGAGCCTTAAACTTAAGTGGGGTGAAGGTCCTAGCAGAGCTTTAATCACCAACCCTACACAGTTCAACTTGCAGATGGAGGACAGGTTTGGCAGGTAAGGTAATCGGAACGTTAAAGATACTCTTGATTTATGACTCTGTATGCAGTTTTTAAGACGTTTTAAGTGTTCCCACTCCTGTTTGCACTAATGAGTCATTCAGGCATCCCAGAGTTTGCCCCTTACTTTGCATTTTTACACCCCGTTTTTCAACCAGAAATGCTGTTAATAGCTGTTGCACTTGTGTTTACTTGTAAACAGTAAATAGTATTTAAACAATAATATCTTACCATCTTATGTTGCCAGTTGTTTCAATTTTTTTTGGAAATTCTAAAATGAAGTCCAGTTGTATCGAAGAAACATGGGGTCGGCAGTTGTTCTTTAACCTGAAATTACAGCGTGTGTAGTGCACACAAGGGTTATTCTCTTGATTGGAATCAAGAGCTGGGTCATGTAGTTTCAGGGGTTGGCCCCTGTAGGGCTGTTGTAGCTTGGTGCCCGGGCAGGATGGAGGAATGCTCTGGGAGTGTAAATCTGGACTTCTACCAGCACGAACGGTGCGTGTTGCTGCTTTTAAGGCACACGGGGAAGCGCAGGGAGCAACAGCAGAGCTCAGGCTGCCAAACACTGGGCGTGCAGGCACGTCGGGAGCTGGGTCGCACGGAGTGTACTGTCACTTTTCTGTGCTTTAGATACAAAAACGTTCCACCTTGGATACCGATACACAGATTGGTGAGTACTAATCTGTATATATTCTGTGTTTCCTTCCAGGTTTGTTACTGTTTATAACGGTCCTTGTCACACATACAAGGTGCAGAGGCTCAGTGAATCCACTACGTACTATTTTAAAATCCAGGCGTATAACGATGCCGGAGAGGGAGAGTTTTCTGAAGTTTACGCATTCACTACCACCAAGTCTCCACCCGCATCCCTTAAAGGTGAGCTTACGCCGCGCTAGGAGCTGCCGCGAGCCGCGTACGCCCGAGATTGAATGCTGCACCCTGCCCCTCCTCCCAGCCCAGCGGCTTTCCAGGGCCTTGGTGGGACAGAGAACAGAAAGGAGCTGTGACAGGCTTTATCTGGGTATGAGAAGGGCTCTGCTGGTGTAGGACCAACGTGTGGCCATCTCCTGTGCCGTAGCTCTTCCAGCCCGACAGTGAGGGTTTCTACCACCCTTCTTCAGCTGGGAAGTCATTTTTCAGGGTTAGCTGTCACTTCATACGCGTTACAACAGCGTGTAGGCAAACGAGAGTGCCAAGAATTCCTCTGATCTTCACTTTCTACAATGAGCTTTAAAGGCTGTCATTAGAGAGGGTCATTCTGCAGATCAGAACACTGATTACCTGCGGGAAAAGGAGTTGTGTTTGTAACACGTGATTTCAGCTTTGGAGATACATGGGCGCAAATGCTGTTTTCTCCAGTGACTGGAAAGCACTTGCTCATCAGTACAAGCATTAGATGTCAGGAGCTCAGCTTGTCAGCTGGAAGAGAAAGACAGGTATACTCTGCAGCTATTACTGTGATCGTTTTTTAAGCTTATGTCATGAAATATAGCAAAGAAAAAGAATGACTGCATGCTGGATTCAGCCAGGAAGGAGTT